CATCCAGATTTTATGTCAGCATAAAAGGTGTGTGTGGATGAATAACCAGGGTTACGTGTTCATGCTAACACTCGTGACTCTGATTACTCTTTGTCCGTCTTTATCTGTCTTTCGAAACGTGATTTCAAACCCGAGCGTCCTCTCGGAGAAATTTCTTCTCGTTAGCTCAATTTTTCTGCTTTTGTTTTGTTGCCCTTTGGCCAATCAGGGGCCGGCACCTCAGCTGGATTTCACCCTCGTCAGCTCCATCGGATTAGCAGCTTCTGTTTTTGCCTTTCTCCCCCACTTCGCCTGTTTTCACGGGGCCAGCTGAAAGGGACTTGATTAAAACCTTTCTCCGCTGCCCTCTCTTCGTGTCTCCTCTTTTTTCCCCTCTTTCTGCCGTGTCCTCCCTCTCTCTTTCCCCTTTGCAAAGAATGGAGCAAATCAGGGAATCAATTCAAAGTAATCATGACAAATGAGTCCCAGTGGTTAGCAAGGATTTCTTTCCCTCAGTGTGTGTGTGTCTGTGTGTTACTGTGTGTGTGTGTGTGTGTGTTTGGGCTTCTGGGAAATCACAAATGAATCAATCAGCTATTATCACATCAGTAAACATTGCTGGATGGATGGATGGATGGACGGAGGGGGGGACAAAACGGAGAGGAGTCCGTGTGCTTGCAGGTTTGCTGTGCAGATAGATGGCTGATTAGGTGCGGGGCCACGTGGGGGGGGGGTCTGTGGGGGCCGGGGGGGGGGGGGCTTTGCTGCGTTAACCTTGGAGCTGTCACGGCAGATGGAAGATGGGAAGGGCCACAGGCTGGGAGGGATGCATGAGCTGAAGAGGAAGAGGAGGAGGAGGAGGAATCCAGCTACTTTTGGAACGGAGCTATTCAGATATTTTTTTTTTTTTTTTCTGCCGGGCATATTTGTGCTGTGATGCACTTTCTTGATAAGAGCCTGAGTGGCAACGTGTCATGGCAGACTGAAAGGGGCAGGCCGGGTGAGGAAAGCTCCGATTACTCAGACAGTTGGCGTGAGGGGAGTTTGTGGGGGGGGGGGGGGGCGGGATCTGCTTTGTAGCAGGATTATGTGCACTATTGTGCACGTGGTCAACACGTAGACTTAAAGAAGACTGTCCAAATAAGCCATGCTGGACCTCTGGAAACTGATAAAAAATGTCCCTAAACTCAGGCCGGACAGTGGCCACCAGGCCTCTGTCCTCTCCGGTTAGGGTCAGATACCCAGATAACCAGAGCCCCGCGCCTTTCTGGACGACAGATGCTGGCCCTGGACGCGTGGCGCTGGCTCCCCCGCCATTAAAAAAAACGCTTTCCCCGAAAAAAGGAGGCGCAGCGATTCCAGGCGGGCGCCAAAATGAAGGAGTGGCCGTCGGCGGCATGTGTGGCGTGCAGGCGCAGTTCTGCGGGGGGAAATAGATGAATGGAATCAAAGCCGGGTGTCTGGGGCCCGGGGCGGTGGGGGGGGGGGGTTCCCTGTCTGCCTGCGGGGGGTGTGGGTGTGCGTGCCCACCTTGGCTTCCTGCCCAGCTTTTCTCCCCAGCTGATTAGGGGGTTAATGGCCAATGAGCGCGAGGAGCTGGAAAGCTTTTGATTGGCCGACAGGCTTCCATGTGGGTGGAGATGCTGTCGAGTGACAGATGGCGTACAACGGGGAGGGGGGCCGGCTAAATGTGTATCTGGGTGTGTGTGTGTATGCCTGCACATGGCTGCCAAAAAAGTTTTTGTCTTTTTTTTTTTTTTTTTGGAGGGGGGGGGGTCTTTAATTACACATGAGAGATGATCAGTGGTTATCTCTCCTGTGTCTCCAGGCTTTTAATGCTCTCTCACATATCAGTCCCAAATGTACTGACACATTACGGTTTAAGAAAACCTCTAAAAAGGTTCAGATTTCTGGCCCATCCACACACCAGGTCTGGGTTGAGCTCTGTGGCGAGCGGGGCGGGGAAACCGCTGCGGCTCTTTGTGTTTCCTCTTTTAATAAACACATCAGAATGTGGATCTGTCTGAGGCTTGAATGCTCGCCGCTCTGTATATTAGGAGTGTTATTAACCACAAAAACCAGCCTGGCGTCAGCATGAGAGGCAGCAGACTGAGGGTGTGTGTGTGTGTGTGTAAATGTGAGTGTGTGAGAGTTGTCAGGGCTCCCATGCCTACCTGCTCCAGCTACAGACTGAAAAAAGGAAAAGGAGGCAGATGAATTTCTAACAAAGATGAATCAGGGTTGTGATGTGTGTAAACTGGGAGCAATGCCAAGTACAACCATGTGCCCTTATCCTGAAGGGGGGGGGGGGGGTTGTATGTGCCTGAGTAAAGGGGAGATTAGTGATATCTTCTGTGAATATCAGGGACTAGTTTTCACCGTTTCTTCTGCATGTTCGCTGTGGCATTAAGAACAAAAGCAGGCCGGCTCTGAAAAGGTTGTTTTGTTCCCCGCGTGTGTGTGTGTGTGTGTGTTTTGCAGACTGTCTAATGCAGCTTCTTTTTTATCATCGAGTGTCCACATCTGCTGAAGACACGATGTCTGCCTCAGCGCTGACCCCCAAACGCAGCACAGGGAAGGCCGCGTTCAGGAGGAGGACGGAGTTTTGCTCATGTTTTTCTCCTAAGTGTGGAAGCAGCGCCTGTAGTGTCTGATCTGGTATTTTAATGGGCTTAAAGAAATCAGCTTAATCACAGCTGACCAATCTTTCATGTGATGTTGGACAAAACACGGCTAACAGTGGGAAATACGAGGCCTAATGTCGGGTAATAAGACGGGCGTCCTTCTGAAGCTCACAGATATGGAGGGTTTTACTCCTTTGTGGGGAAAAGCAGTAACTTCCTGTTGTCTCTTGAGTTTCCAGCTTGTTTTCTAAGCTTAGCTGCCAGACAGCTGTTAGTTATTTGTCTCTTAAAGGGACGTGTTCTTTCAGTCAATCAAAAGACCAGACATCTCCACTCATAGAAGCTTAATTTAATCTCTGAGAAATGACCACTGACTTACTGTAACTGAGGTGTGAATTCCGAAAAAAAAAAAAAAAAGCGAGCTTACCCGGATAATTAAGCCCTGCAGTGATGAGGTGTTTGTGTGGAAAACTGGCAAAGATGGAGGGGAGGGGTGCCAGACGGACGGACTGTGAACTGAGGGAGAGCCATTTTGGACTTGATTGAAAGTGAAAAGAGCAGCAGTGTCACCATCGCATTCATCCCAGTGGCCTGAGCAACAATAGGCTTTAATCTAACAGACACAGGCAGGAAGAAAAGGGTCTGAGGCGAAGGCAGAGCCGTGCTCCCGGCTGTGGGAAAGACTCGGTGCTACCTGCATCTCTAACGCCGGCTGGACTTTAGTGGCCGCTGGTGCATTATTTACATGGCCAGAGGAAAAGGTAGAGCCCAGATTATTTTCTTCATTACTCCAAGAAATTTCCTTTCCATGATTCTTTTTCTGGCCGACCCTTGGCTCCCTGTTGCAGTACCTCCAGCTCCCGTTCTAATCTGCAGGTTCCCAGAAGGAAAGGAACGAGAAACCATCTCTGCCATCCACTGTTGTTCAAGATGCACAGTATTAGAGCAGGAAGACTCCACGGGGGAGTGAATTTCAACAAATTGGAGCTCTCTTTGTCTCTCAGCGCTGATGATTCGGCTTGTGTTCCTCCCTCTGCGGTCTGCTCCCCCCCCCCCCGGCTCCCCGTGGCCACACCGAACAGCCCAAACGGCTTCCTCAACTCATCTGGAGCTTTGAAAGCCACTGACAATCAGATTTGTGACTTGAAATGCAAAGGTATGCAGCATTTCCAGAGGCAGTGGCTTTGCCTTTTCTAGGGGAGGGGGGGGGGGAGCCGTGGCTGTTTGGGCCACGCTGTGATCCATGAATATCACAGGCTGTGTGCTCAGCTGCACGTGGTTAGCTCCGTCCTGTAGCCTTTCATCTGGCTTTGTCTTAACGAAAGCAGTTTGCACCTGATTGAGTCTGGCTGTGTGTATTTGTGAGTGGGCGCTCGCAGCTTTTCGGCCTATTGTTGAATTTGCCTCTGAGAAGGCTCTGCGGGGCCTTATTGGGCAGCTCTGCCCGGCGGGCCCAGTAGGATGACGAGCACCTCAACCCCCGCCCCTGCAGCTGGTCCACGCCACGGTCCAGAGCAAAAGCCTAACCCGGTGTGTACATACACACACGGGTTCCACTGACCTCATAAATAATTGGCCCATCCCCGTGAGACCTCGGGCCATACAGGATACTCTCTCCCCTCCTCAATTCCCTTTTCTGGGCTCGTCTTTCTTTTCGTGTCTCATCCCTTTAATCCATTCATCGGTCTTCTCTGTGTGCTCATTCTTTAGCCAACATTTGTGTTATTTCTCCTGTCCCAGTCAGCTTTAAAGCTGCAGCTTTATTGCTACGAGGCACACGAATAGAACCTGTAAAGTCTGACATCTGACCCCGGGAAAGACGGTTTTGCAGACATTGTTCCGAATCCATCCCACGAATGCACTGGCAGTGAAACTGGCCAAACAAAGGGGGCCAAGTAGGAACGGCTCCTCCTGGTCAGAACTACAGGAAATAGTCGCCCGCAGATGTTCAGCCGCATCCCCGAAAGAGGTCAAACAGTTAATGGCACACTTGGTTTGCGGTGTGGCTCTGAAGATAAACCCTGCAAAGCAGAGTCAAAGTTTATTTATCTAGCCAACTTTCCTGACCATGCTGGGGGCAGTGTGTGTGTGTGTGTGAGAGTGGGCAGGAAATGATCCCTACCCAGCAACTGCCTTTTTTTTTCACTTTGCACACAGGCAAATGAGTCAGGGAGGCAGAAGCAGAGTATCAGGTGGCTCAGTCCCGGTTGGTGAGGTCTCATTAAGACGTGTGTGTTTTAGTCTCGGGCTTAACCCCGAATGTTTGCATTGGCTCTGATTACTGAAGAGACCCTGTCCCTGCCTCTCTGTGGTCCAACTGACTAAAGCTCAGATTTTCTGCTAAAATGGAAAACCGTGCCGAATTCGTTTGAAGCGAAAACGACATCTCTATTTAAGCTGGGCTCTTCTTGTGTCTCTGCAGGGTTCCACCTCAGCGGCACGGTAACCGAGCCGGCCACGCCCACCGAGCCCGAGGTGACCCACAAAGTGGCCATCAGCTTCGACCGCTGCAAGATCACCTCGGTCACCTGCGGCTGCGGGAACAGGGACATCTTCTACTGCGCCCACGTGGTGGCCCTCTCCCTGTACCGGATCCGGAAGCCCGAGCAGGTAACGGCCCACAGTGAACGGAACAGAGGGGCAAGAGGAGCTGCCGGTGGTGGAGTGTCCAGCTCAGGGTCTGTTCCTGTCCCCCTGCAGGTGAAGCTGCGGCTGCCCATATCAGAGACGCTGTTCCAGATGAACAGAGACCAGCTGCAGAAGCTGGTCCAGTATCTGATCACAGCCCACCACACGGAGGTGCTGCCCACCGCTCAGAAACTGGCCGACGAGATCCTCTCCTCCAACTCTGAGATCAACCAGGTTCACGGTGAGCAGCACGTCCTCTTCTCCAAACCCACTCCCAGCTCTTTGCTCAATCCGCCAAATCGATTATTCATGCCATCGGTGTGTGTGACAGTCATCAGGGAAGTGCGGCTCTGTTCAAAAATCGTGGAAATGTCCCGGTCTGTGGAGCAGCTATCCACCCCTCCGCAGTGATATCTTCACAGCAACAGGCCGGACTTAAAAGCCTCCAGACTTAAAACGCGCTCTGTGCTAGCTCACAGGCCGCCGTACGCCACAGCTCCTGATTACTGCCAGGCAGCAAACCGGGCTTCAAATGGCTCGTTTGATTTCTTATTTTCCGTGCTACAGTGCCTCCTTCCTCCCACTGACAGAGGAAGGTGGAATAAAGCAGAAAGAGAAGGACTGATTGATGAAATGGAGGCAGGAGGAGACATAGGGAGCCTTGTGTGAGCAGGACGGGGAGAAAAAGACAAGAGAAGTGGCTCTCAGTGAAACGGGAGATAGATTGAGTGGAAAGATGAAAGGGGAGGAGAGAATACAGAGATGAAAAAGGAGGAGGAGGAGGACCACAGCAGCCCTTCATCAGGGGACTGACAAGTTGGGCACATCCCTTCACCGAACAAAAGTCCTCATCTGTTCCTCCTGTTTCATCCCGGCTAAATGTTGACATTCTCTGCCGCTTGCGTCCAGGAAGCCCCGCGCTGTGCTTCCTGTCTGTGTTTGACAAGGGGGATCATGGGGGTTGAAGTTCAGTCGGTCCAGGAGTGAGGATGCCTTTGATGGGGGAATGTTGCTGTTTGCCGCAGCGCTCGCTCAGACAGTTGGAAACACATCTTTGGGCTTTCCTCGGCTCGCTTCCTGTGAGATCAAAGCCGCCTCTCCCTCCGGAGTGTATCTACATTACCCCGCAGTATTTGTCAGGAACACACACACACACACACACACTAATTCACTCGGTCACAAAGCAGAAAGGAAAATAACGTGGACTTGTATTCCCTCAGTTTGTGATTAGCATAACTTTAGCAGCATATGTTGGGTTTGATACAGGTGCTCTGGAAGTAAGATTTCAAACTATCCATCAGTCACAAAGGATTCAGGCTTGGTTGAAATGAACTCACATGAAACTAACCGTGCACACACATTCCTTTGCACACATTAAGGAGCTGGAGGGCTCCTCTTTGGTCCCTGCTCATTAGATACCTGTGTGTGCCTATTCTCAGGTGCCCCAGACCCGACGGCAGGCGCCAGCATCGACGACGACAACTGCTGGCACCTGGATGAGGATCAAGTCAGGGAGCAGGTCAAACAGTTCTTGTCCCAGGGAGGATACTACGGCTCCGGAAAACAGCTCAACTCCATGTTCGCTAAGGTTCACACCACCAGCTTCTACGTTTAACACATTCTAAAGCTGTCCACATCAGGGCTGAGCTGTTTCTTTTATTTAGCCTGAGATTAAGGAGGTTCATACAATCTAGAAATGGAGAGGTTGAACATACCTTGACAATACATTCGCCAGGAAGTATGCTCCGTCTTCTTCATTCATTCGATTTTAGAATAAATGTTCATACTTATGATAAATGGGCTTTTAGAATGCTTGCTTTTTAGTCTCTGAAATTATATCTAACATTCTCAGGTACTTGGAAAATTTGTAGGACTCTCATCCTTTATTGAATAGAGCAAGTGTTTGAAAAAAAAGTATTCAATGTTCTCTTTGAACTATCTTTAAAAATTCTTTCAAAGATCTTCAATCCTTGAAAGATTAGGCAGCTGGGCTGCTGGCATATGAGCAAACGTGCTGTTGCTGTCGTGAGATGGACTCACACAGAGCACTGAGGCCACAGCAGAAACAAGGAAGTGCTTTTACCCCCACTTGCTCTTAGCTCTTTCCAGCTTTATGCTAAGTGAAGGCGACCAGCAGACACATGCTAAATGCTCAGAACCACAGCCCTGCAGGCTCTGGGTTGGTAGAAGCCTCCCGCTTCATCTCACTTTTTTACAGGAACTTGAATGACTGTATGAGTTGCACACATTTCCAATGCATTTTCTCTACAGAACTTTATTCTGATGAGCAGCGCTCATCCCAGCTCAGACTCTCTGGGATTCCTCCAGAAACTAAGCCTGCTACCCTCTACAGGTGCGGGAGATGCTACGTATGCGAGACTCCAACGGCGCCCGAATGCTCACGCTCATAACGGAGCAGTTTATGGCCGACCCGCGACTGTCGCTATGGAGACAGCAAGGCACTGGCATGACAGACAAGTGTCGGCAGCTGTGGGATGAGCTCGGTAAGAACCCTGCAGAGGACAGCCGAACAGAACCACACCAGCACGAAGACGTATGTGTTCACGAGTTTTCCAAACGGTGGTAGTAGGTCCATCAATAACCGGCCCTCAGACAGCCGGGGCCGCTGACCCGTCCAGGGTGTCAGCCTCTAAGACAAATATCTAGTCCCCCGGCCGGGTAACGCTCAGGCCATCCTGTCAGCTGCCCCCCCTTCCTGCCCCGGCTTCTCCTCTCACTTCCTGCATGCGGCGAATGATAAAGGCTGCCGATCAATACCGCTGCTCAACTTCTCCGCAATCAATCTCAGCATTTAGGAGGTCAATAAGAACACTTCCCGGGTGAGTGAGTGAGGGAGTGAGATCATGACACAGACAGAAATAACAGCCAGACGGTCAGATCATTTTTCCAAGAGCTGCAGACGTCTGACTGAGCTGAGGGTTTTACATACGGAGAACAGGTGACCTGCGAGCTTTAATGCTCTTCGGTTTGTTCGCCGAGCGGTCACTCAAGGGTCAGATGTTGCTGTTTACTGTATGATGTGTAGCTCAAAGACTGTAAAGTGGAACTGTCATCAGTTTTGTGATGAGCTGGGTAAAATTAGTGTGATGTAATTTGAATATAGCAATGAACACGATGAGTTTAATGTATTTTTATAGTTTCTTTAGAGGCTGAGAAATAAAATGTCAGTTATGGGTTCTCAGTAAACCTTCAGATTCTTAAAGAATATTTTAAATAAAAGATGTAACCCAAAGTAAAACTAAACTTTGACAGTATTTCAGTTCCTTGAAAAACTGAAGGAGAACAGGAAGTGGAATGGAATGATATAGTTTTCAGTTTTTTGCTGCTGGGTGTAGAAACCTGTGGCGCTTGAGCCAGCGTTTCTTTTTAATAACGCCCCGGAGCTTCTGCTCTAACATCTGACCGCCCCTCCCTTCCCCAGGCGCTCTGTGGGTGTGCGTGGTGCTCAACCCCCACTGCAAGAGTGAGGAGAAGAGCAGCTGGCTGAAGCAGCTGAAGAAGTGGGGAGACATGGACGTCTGCCCGCTGGAGGACGGCAACTACGGCAGCGAGCTTCCAAACATCACCAACGCTCTGCCGCAGAGCAACCTGGCTCAAGGTCCGTATTTAGTCCGCCCGCTCTGAGAAACGAAAGCACACACCCGTCTGACCCGTCCTCCTGTGTGCTGTCAGACTCCCTGTCCAGGCCGAGGAGGACGGTGTTCAGCCGGGCCGTGGAGGCCTGTGACCTCCACTGGCAGGACAGCCACCTGCAGAGGATCATCAGCAGCGACTACTACATGTCCCCGTCCTACCAGAGGGAGGGGGAGAGCCTCCTGTTCAACCCCCAGGGGCTGCCGCTCTGGCTAGGTGCAGCATTATTACTCAGTTCCAGCAGAATAAATTGCATTTGTGTGTTGCGTAATTTGCCTTTTACAGCGCATAAGTACTGGCGTTTACTCATGTGGTGTGTTCATTTTTCACTGAGACGCACCGTGAGATTAACACAGGCTTTTTACTCCTCCAAAAAACAGAAAAAGTTCATTTCGTAAAAAGCCCAACAGGGCTTGGTTCCCCATTTTCTCCCAGAATCTCCGTGTCTGCCTAAACGCTGACCCGACACACACTCTCACGCACTCACACGCTGTAGTTTTGCTGATATTTGAGGCCGGTATCTGCAGTAAGCAGCTTCCAGCCAAGATCTGTCCGATTCTGCAACTTAAGCCCGCTATCGCTCACACACACACTCAGCAGCTTTGTGCTGAGGCTGCACCCGGCTGTGCGCCCGGGTGTGTTCGTAGGCGTCTGCTGCTCACTTCATCACGTGTGCCTGGGAACGTTCAAACGTAAACATTTGCTTTAAAAAGGGGGCGAAAAGTCCTCAGATAATGGGAGGCTGTCCTCAGCTCACCTGGTCTGCCTGTCTACCACACAGACCACGTCCCCACAGCCTGTGCCCGCGTGGACGCCCTTCGTTCCCATGGCTACTCGAGGGAAGCCCTGCGATTGGCCGTGGCCATCATCAACACGCTCCGCCTCCAGCAGCAGAGGCAGATGGACATCTACAAACACCAAAAGAAAGGTACCTGCTCACACACACGGAGCCCGTGTGGAGCCGCTGAGTTTCTGTAACGTGTCCGTGTCACTTCCTGTCTGTGCTCAGAGCTCCTCCAGAGAGGCGTCACCTCCACCACCAACCTGGAGGGCTGGGTGGGTCATCCCTTGGACCCGATTGGCTGTCTGTTCATCACGCTCACAGAAACGTGTCGGGTGGACGATGACAGCACCATGGACACCGGAGGTAGGCGGAACAGCTCCATTTCTCATTTTGTCCAATCAAGTAATAGCCCCGAGCATTTTGAACAGATATTTGATGAATTACAGTAAAGCTGTGTCCATCCGTCTGAACTCTGGCATTTAGTCGTTCATACGCCGGCCCCTTTCAATCCATGTTTCTGATATTAAGCTGACGTGTCCAGTTTCCAGGATTCATTAGAACTTCTTTCCAAACCCCCTCGAATGTATTAAACACTTATTACAATTTCATCAAAGTTGAGCTTTTAAGGGGACAATTTTCACTAAAAGCAATACTCTGATTTATGTCCTCGCTTTGGTTTTATGGGGTTTCATCATGAAAACGATCTTTTTTTTTTCCTGCCACAATAATGTGTGTATTCATATCGGCGCGTAGAACTCGTGGAGTGTCCCTCGGCCTTCTCGGCCTTTGGTTGTTTGGCACCCTTGTGCTGTGTGAGGGATTTTCATGATCTTATATAAGGACTGCTTGCTGCTGTGAGGCAGACAGCCATAAAGTAGCAGGGCATGAATGGATGGGAGTGGAGCCACCGTGCTCGCTTACACCACACTCCTGTTGTGCGTGCAAATCTGTGTGTGTGGTATGTATAGAATCCATCCCCCTTTGCATTTCTCACCCTTCCCGGGGAGTATTCTTTTTCTTTGCCGTGGTGGCCATTGCAACACACCAGCAGAGGGGCTGGGTTTTCTCATTGTCACCAGGCTACAGGGAACTATTGTCTGCCGAAACAATGCTGACAACTGGCACTGTCATCTGTGTGTGTGTGTGTTGGAGGGAGGGTGAGTGATGGTCTTGGAATACGAGGAAAGTGGAATGTTAAATTTGTGTGAAGCTGGGCCGACATGCTTTGGTTCCCTGCGGAGAACAGCTGGGAACATCTGTTGTGCAGTGAGCTGAAGTCATCCAGTCACAATGCGCTCTCCTCTACGGGTCTTTTCTAATTAACCAATCGGTTTTAGTGCCTTAAGGGTACAGGGGGGGGTTCAGTTAGCATTGGAGTTAAGTGCATGAGACCGGTTTTCCCCCCGACCTCAAAACATGCAGACACACACACACACACACACTCACACACACACTGAAATAAACAGGATTGAGGGGGATCTATTGCTCAGAGGGGATTTATAAGCAGGAGTGATGGGGTGGGGGAGCAAAAGGGAATAAATGAGCACCAATCAACAGATGAGGCTCTCACTGCATCTGTTCTCACTTATACTTGTCAAGCTTTAGTGTAGCGAGAGCCACCATCTTAGGTTTTTAAATATAAGGCAGAGGAGTATCATTATAGGTTCCATGTTTCTGAGTTAATCAAATCAAGTGGTTAGACTGCTTTTGTACACACTGTGGATGGCTAGTTTTCTGCGAGGAAAAAGTTAGTTCCTGTTGGTTTAGAATGACATACTGGCAGCCAAAGGACACCTTTCAAAGAAATAAATGAGTACTGATGTTTTATGCGTCCTGTTTTTTATGTCCTGTCCCTTTAGATGGTGACCCCAGACCGCCTGTGTACCACCATGTGCCCGTGTGGGGCAGCTCAGACGGGGGGGAGTCCTACCTGACTCTGGCCTTGGAGGTGGCCCTGATGGGAATGGGCCAGCAGAGGATAATGCCGGAGGGACTGTACGCTCAGGACAAGGTAGTGACTTTAGCTTTTCCATGTAATAAATCAACCCACATCAGAGAGAACATGGTGAGGTCCGGATGCTTTTTGACTGACCCATGTGGGCACTGCCTTACAGATACATTTGAATAACTCTTAGACAGCACGGTTGCTCAGATAGGAAAAGAAAAGCCATCGTTTAACATCTGTTGGAGGTAAATGCCATCCAAAAAGAAAAAGGTTGCATATTTTTGTTCCTTGAAAAACAAGTGGAAAGCTACAGGACTTAAGTGCACGTTGGAATAGAATAGATTCTGTAAATGGTAATGTGTTTTTGAAGGCCGAACACTGCTACCGCAGACCTTTCTTAATGTCACTGGAATTAGTCCCAATGTTCACGTTCTAAGAATGACTTGCCTTTAAAACCGATCACATGTGTGGAAGGACCTTTTAACGAGGCCCTTGGCTGGAATGAAATCAATTTCAGTCACGTGTTCTGAAACAAAAGATACACACAGATCCAAGTGGTACAGTCCCCTGATATTCCTTAAGACCTATAGGTCTAACCTTTTCTTAAAAAGGTGTTAAAACACAAGTATGTAACTTATTTCCTGTTTGTTCATGTTCCTTAAATGCCAGTGGGCCGCGTGGTTACAGTGAGATGTGTCTGCCTTTGTACGTGTCCCAGGTGTGTCGCAACGAAGAGCAGATTGTTTCAAAGCTGCAAGAGCTGGAGCTGGACGATCTCCTGGTTCAGACGCTTCGGAAACAGGCCATACAGCTATTAGACGGTAGGACACGGTGCTCCTTTAATTTGTGAGTGAGAAATCTGTTATCTGTTACAGTGGAGCGGTGCACTCAGTCTGTTTTTGCCTCTTCCTGGCTCCAGCCGGTCCCTTCAGCGGCCTCGGGGAGGTCATCCACAGGGAAAGCGTGCCCATGCACACTTTTGCCAAGTACCTCTTCTCAGCCCTGCTGCCACATGACGCAGACCTGGCCTATAAGGTGGCTCTCCGCGCCATGAGGTCAGATTTCTCCTCATCACAACATGAGATAATGACTTTTATGAAAACGAGTAACCTATTTTAGCTTTTGATTAACCTCCGACACCTTTCTCTAACAAATGCAGTGTAATTCAGGAGGCCTTTAGGCACACGATAGCCTTCATAGCTGTAAGATATCATAGACGTCTGGACAGAAAATGACTATAAACTAAATATCAGATGCCTGAAATAGATCTTTTTTGTGTTTGTGTCCAAAAGGCTGCCGGTGCTGGAGTCATCGGGCGGCTCCGGGGACGTTGGCCACCCTCATCACGGCATCTCCATAGTTCCCAGCAGATACCCCCGCTGGTTCACTCTGGGACACCTGGAGTCGCAGCAGTGCGAGCTGGCCTCCACCATGCTCACCGCCGCTAAAGGTTAGCCGGCGCACATGCACCCCCTCCTGTCAGAGAGAGGGTCTCAACACAGGGGCTAACGCGCCTAAACCCTCCGTTTGCTGTCCTTTACTGGCTGCAGGGGACATGCTGAGGTTGCGGACGGTGCTGGAGGCCATCCAGAAGAACATCCACTCCTCGTCTCTAATCTTCAAACTGGCCCAGGACGCCTTTAAGATAGCCACGCCCGCAGACAACCCCCCCGACATGACCCTGCTGAACGTGGCGCTGGAGCTGGGGCTGCAGGTACCGTGTGTTTGTCCACTCGCAGGAAAAGTCCGTAATTTTCTCTGAGCGTTTGACCGCAGCCAAAACAATCAGTCAGCAGCTACAAGCACGGGCTGCCTCCACTGTAATCTCCACAGAACCACTACAAATTAACCAAGAAAACATCACCCACAGTCTCGTTATCGTTGATGAGGGGGGGTGCGTAAGTAAAGACTCCTCAGTGAGCTTAGTGTGGCTGTGGGAACAGCCTCCTCCTGGCTCTGGTCAGGGCTGAGGAACCTGAAAAGCTACCAGCAAAAAGGAATACAGCAGCATGAAGGAATGGAAGAGCTACAGCCAGCTGAGCTTCACACGTTTACCCTGAGAAGCTGCTTCTTTGTACGACGCGGCATCAGGAGAGACACGGTTTGTGTTGGGTGTTTTGCAGGTGATGCGGATGACGCTGTCCACGCTGAACTGGAGGAGGAGAGAGATGGTCCGCTGGCTGGTAACCTGCGCCACCGAAGTTGGTACGTGTGGTTTTCTCACTCAGCTCAGTAAGAGCCAGCCAGCAGACAGGGCTCATGCTCTGATTAAGGCCTCCACAGTGACCTTTGGCCTGCCCCTATTTAGATTCCTTACGGCTTACTTTGGCTTTTCATTCAACAAAAAAAAAAAAACTGTAGTAAAAACATCTCACAGAGATAAGCGCTGTTGTTTATTCTGTGGTGACGGTGCAGAAAAAGGGCTCATTGCTAAAAAATGTAAGCAAAAAAAACATGTTCACAGGTATGTAGTCCCTCAAGAAACTGTCAGCAAAGGATTAAATAAAGTCGGAGTTACACGCAGTGTGTGTGGTTTACTCACAGTAGTCAAACGTTAGCATGGAACTGGGTTAGTTTATCAGATCAACACATATACAAATAATTTAAATAATTTCCCTCTGGGATTATTAAAGTATTTCTGATTCTGATTCTGATTCTGATAAAGTGGCATCAGGCTGACCCAGAGCAGGCTTTCTGTCCAGTGGGTGGAGGCTGAGTGTGTCTTTGTCTGGTCAGGGCTGCGGGCGCTGGTGAGCATCCTGCAGAGCTGGTACACGCTCTTCACGCCCACGGAGGCCACCAGCATCGTGGCGGCCACCGTCATGTCGCACAACACCATCCTGCGGCTGAGCCTGGACTACGCGCAGCGCGAGGAGCTGGCCAGCTGCGCGCGCACGCTGGCCCTGCAGTGCGCCATGAAGGACCCGCAGAACTGCGCCCTGTCGGCGCTCACGCTCTGCGAGAAGGACCACATCGCCTTCGAGACGGCCTACCAGATCGTGATCGACGCGGCCTCCACGGGCATGACCTACTCGCAGCTGTTCACCATCGCGCGCTACATGGAGCACCGCGGCTACCCGCTGCGCTCCTTCAAGCTGGCCTCGCTGGCCATGACCCACCTCAACCTGGCCTACAACCAGGACACGCACCCGGCCATCAACGACGTGCTGTGGGCGTGCGCGCTCAGCCACTCGCTGGGCAAGAACGAGCTGGCCGCCATCATCCCGCTGGTGGTGAAGAGCGTGCACTGCGCCACCGTGCTGTCCGACATCCTGCGGCGCTGCACCATGACGGCGCCGGGCCTGGCCGGCATCCCCGGGAGGAGGAACTCCGGGAAGCTGATGTCCACGGACAAGGCGCCGCTGCGGCAGCTGCTGGACGCCACGATATCGGCCTACATCAACACCACGCACTCGCGGCTGACGCACATCAGCCCGCGGCACTACGGCGAGTTCATCGAGTTCCTGAGCAAGGCGCGGGAGACCTTCCTGCTGGCCCAGGACGGCCACATCCAGTTCGCCCAGTTCATAGACAACCTCAAACAGATCTACAAAGGCAAGAAGAAACTCATGATGCTGGTCCGGGAGCGCTTCGGCTGACCCCAGCCCCCCCCCCCCCCCCCCCCCCCTCAGAGACCCTCCTCCTGGGAAGAAGTTCGACTTATTTGTTTCTATTTAAGGCTTTTTTTTTGTTTGTTTTTGGATTCTTTTGTATTTTTAATTCCTATGTTGAGCCATTTGTTGACTAAGTCTTAAGGTCTTGTTCGGTTTTGTTTCTTGAGTGTGAACCAAGAAGTGTTGGCAGTACATTGCTCTACTTCTCCGTCACCGCCATCGGGGTCATGACTTGAAATCTCCAAGAAGCAACAAAGAAAAACGAAGCACGGCCCCCCCTACCAGCTGAGTATTCCACCTAGACAGAGAAATCATACGAATGTGGCGAGAAATGTTTGCTTTTCACCGGCACGTGGCTCTGAAAACCAAATGACCTAGTTGGATGGGGTTCGTGCTCCAGGCCCGAGGACGCTCTCAGTTGTGGTCGGGGGGGGGGGGGGAGGGGGGGGTTGGGGGGGAAATGTAATTGGGGGAAAAAGAGCGGTTAAAAACACTCGCAGTGTTCCTGTCATACCTCGATGTTAGGCCTCAGCTTTAACTTTGAAATGTCCTCGTGTTTCATTCAGGGCTTCTTAGAGGAGGACAGCAAATCTAACTACTAACGTGTGGTCTTTCTGTAAAACAAGTCAATAACTGCAAACTTCAAAACTGTCACATGCTGGTTTCCTAGAAAACACCTTAGGAGGCCGGTGATGCTTAGCGGGGTGCATGTTTCCGAGCGCAGAAGCCTGAGATCACGCTGCTCCAAAACCGTGTACTCAGAATATATTCAGCCCCTCTTTGAGCCTGGTAACAGAAACTAAATCACCGTGTACTGGACAGCAGGTTAACCTCACCCCCGTGTGTCCACACGCCACCGCACAGCTGCTCTGGACCCCCCAAACCTGCAGACACTCAGCCGTTCACCTGCTAGATCTGCCTTTAGTTCAAAGTCTGTGCTTCAGCTCACTCACTTCCTGTTAGGACGCTTTGGAAATGGTTTGGACCTCGTTGTTTTCAGAAACTACTGGGCTTTCAATCCAGAGGTCACTTCAGTCCCTTCTGCATCCCAAGATCAATTACCAGAAATGAAAATTCTTTATGTTATCAAGTGTAATCAAAAACATTATTTTCCATCATGGAAATAATGTTTTTCTATTTGTGTAACCTAGCCCAGATACTAAAAAAATACAGACAGCAATAGTGTAGATAAGTGATGAAAAACTAACGTTGTTTTTGGCTGGGGAGAAATGAAAAATAATTCTGCCAGTAATATGTTGTTTAAAAAGGGTTGATCTTGCTTCCAAAGTACTTTTTCTTAGTAAAACTAGGTTTTACCACCCTAAATATGACGTCCTATGGTGGATAACATTTTTTTCAAAACTAGCTGAGCTGACTAAAATATTGCATGGCTGTTAATCTGTTAACAGCAATTTAAAGCAGAGACTTGAAGGCTTTTATGACAAAAGGTTGATATTTTAAAGAATCAAAACGTTCACTTAAAAAAAGAGTTGATCCGTTATTTATTCTTTATTCTTCATTACGGCTAAAGCTAAAAGGAATATTCCGCTTTATAATGTCCAAACTTCACTTTCTGGTTCTTGTGATGGAAAAGGGGGTCCAGTGACCCCGGAACTGACCACTTGTTGTCATTACGCTGTGAAGATGAGTCCAATGGTCACACACAGAGATGATACTGTATATTTTATGACTTGATAACTTCATTTTACGTATTAAGAGACCACGTGCCTTGGCACAGAAGGTTATTTTCTCTTTGGGGGGGGGGTGCCCATGGCCCCCTCTCCTCCACAGTGGCAAAGTGTTGATGTTAATGGCAGTATATAAAGTACAGCAAGAGCTTGAACCTATACTGATCCGACTAAATGTCATTGTACAAGCACTTCACACATATACCTCTTCAGTACGTTCCTGCCTGCTTCAGCATTTATTTATTGTTTTGTTCTGTTTTTGTGACTGTGTAGGAGTCCCAGACACACACACACAAACACACACAAACACTCACCTGACTCCGTTGAGAAAGAGGGCAAAAATCAGAAGGGGTTTGGAGCAGAGCGACGTTTTCTTATCTGCTTTTTACATTCCACGAGAGCTACCTTTTACTCCTTTAGCTGGGTAGTCAGTCATAACTCTGGGCCTTTTTTTGATCGGAGGAAATGCAGATAAACAAACGGAAAAAGGAAAACTGAGCAAAAAGAGAGAAAAGAGGCTGAACTCAGTTCTCAGGGACATCACTTAAAGAGAAACAAACAAAAAGTAGTAGCATTAAGCATTTAAGATATTGTAAATATTAAAGTGTCAATTCAGAAAAATTGTAAAGTTATAATTATTTATGATAAATTTGTTATGTGTTGGTTTTTCTTTGTGTTCCGGCGGGGTGTACTTGAACTGTTTGGCGTGGGAATTTGACAACATTTTTTTTTGTAAGAGCAAAGACTTCAAGGCATTTCTCAGGTGCTCTAATGTACATTTCTTTCTTTCTTTCTTTCTTTCTGTCTGTTTTTTGTGCTAAAGTTACTCCTTTTTTGCCATTTTTCAATTTGCAAAGAAACGAAACAACAGTTTTCCTGAAGGAAAGACGCTAGTGAGAGCTGAGGGAAATGAGGGAGGCATTTTTTTGTATTTGTACTAAACCTGACTATGCAGAACCACTCGGATGGTCTTGTCACGTCTGAAAAACGTTGAAGCGTTGAGGGCGAGACGCAGTGGGCTGAACCACTAGTGGGACGAGGAGTTTCCCAGCACTGCTCCCCTCTCAGCCCAGAAAGCAGACGAAAAACGAAACAATGGTGGAAAAAAAGCCTTTTCCGACCGATCAATGTACAAAGTCTATTTTTGCTTTGTTTTTTTGTGTTTGTCAGATTTTTCTTTCAAATCAGGACTTAAGCCTTTAGTGTCTTCTCAGAAGTGTTGCGGCGTGCGATCGCACCACAGCGAGACAAAATACACAAATGTATTAGAAAACAGCAAATGATTGAACAAAAGAAACGGCCTCCTTATAACCTTTTGAATTGTCTATCAATATGTCACCACTCAGTTCCAGTTTTGTGTCACTGCCATAGATTCTTTTCCCCATACCGCGTGGCTTAGTGCCTCAGTGCTCATCAGACAGGCCTGGATCCGGGATTAGAACCAGCGCACGCTCCAGCAGCAGCTTCTTCTTCTTCTGTTGTCTCAGAGCACAGTGACCGACGCACACAGTCAGCCGACCGATAGAAACACCATTTTACCGCTTACTAAACGGAAAAGCTGCAGCCGGCGGTGTGTGTGTGTGTGTGTGTGTGTGATGCATTCACTGGCAGCTTTACAACAAAGAAGCTCTTCCTGCTGTGTTAACGGAATCAGTTCCTGAGCTTTTTCTTAGTTTTCCCTGTCTTTCATTTGTTTGTAGGAAAGTACTATTTGCTGGTAGAGATGTAGTTCACCTACTGTTTCCCTGTTTTGTTTGGTTTTGGATTCTTTCTTGACTTAAGGGAAAATTGAAAGTGTTTGTTGCCTCTTTGTGCTACTGATTATGAAAAGGTATTTCCAGTATTTGTTGCCACAGAAGTATCATAGCTTATCATCCACACTCTTTTTGTATATTTTTTTTTTTTGTTGGTGCGATTTCTTGAGCTACTGTCTATAAAGCAAGAATTTATTACTATTTATGTAACGCTACTACCATTTTATATTGATTTGTTTGTTTGAATCTCAGTGCTTTTCTATGAATAAAGTGTGAAACACGTTATAGAAATGTGTTCTTTTCATACAGATATCTAACCGGTGTCAGCTCACAGGTTGTGTAACTTTGGAGAGCATCAGCATTTTCAAACAGAAAAAGAAAAGCTAGGGTCATATTATGGGAAGTTAAACTGTTGTGAATTTAAATCTCCAATTACATGACATCAAGAAGGTTTTTTTCAAAATAATTTTGTCACCTTTAAGAATTTAACAATATACATTTTATTATGTTGTGGACTTTAACATGATGGTGTGATGAGCATTCGTTTTAGGGCTGTTTCTTTTTCAGATTTCAGGCTTTGATTCAACGCTTCAGCGCAATAAGCTGATATATTTGTGTTTCGATGATAATTTGATTGGATCTCCAAAGAAAATAATATGGTTTAATTAACCAACAGATTTAAACTTAATCAGAAGCAAATGGATGAGCGTAAAGTACATTTGAATTCCCCGTTTTCTGAACGTCCTACTTCTCTGTTTTAGTCATTCATCTTTTGATCAGTGTGGGGTTTTACTGTCAGCCCACTTTAGAAGCGGTGTGGTTGAAATTCATCTTCATTTGGCTTCATAATCCGCCATATTGTTTCCTTACTCCTGCATATTTTGTGAATTTATCCGTTTAGTTTTCAAAGCTAGAGAAGTTGAGGCAAAGGGAAAACTGAGCCAGTGGTTGGATGCAGAGTTTGTTCAAGATTCAATTTAAGGACTTTGGCAACTTTACCTGAGCCATCTTACTTTTTCAGAGACGAAGGGAAATGTGCATTAGTAAAAAATAAAAATAAAAAAAGGGATTACAGCCTTGATGGCAGACTTTCAAAGTGTCATTTAAATGCAAAATATACGTTTGTTAATGCAAGTTACAGGACATCCATAAAAGATTAACAAGACCTGTTTTTCTTTTTTTATTATTTCCTTTTACATAAACTGGTGTCCAATCCCTGCATCCTCACCCATCCGACTGTGAATTAGTGATAAATGAAGCACGCCCATGCTGATGTAGCCCCATCAATCTTTCACCCATTTGTTTCTAATCAGAATATATTTTTCCTCTATCCCTCCTTCCCCGCTTCATTCTCATTCATTACAGGATCTGCAGAGCTGTAGAAGCAGACAATCAGGCCATCAAGAAGTGCTCAGTGTGCCGGGGAGTGTGTGTCTGTGCGCCAGCCTAAATCCAGATTGATTGGCTGATGATAAACGAGCAGATTTATATTAATTATCCAGACGGAGTGATAAAGGAGTGATTGCTCCGTGCTCATTCTTTTTGTCTTCAAATCTGTCGCTCCCTCCCACCCTCTTAAACTCAGACAGACAAAAGCACTGGAGACACACACACACCTGCAAAATCGCTGTTCGGCCCCATCCGTCCAGGTTTTCTGCAGCTTTTTGGACTTCCTGCACAT